GTGTAAGGTAGATGACTTTGGACAAAGCCTTAATGACACTTGGCTTCTCCTACCGTTCGAGATACGAGGAGGAGCCCCATATGCATGCTTGCTGTGAGAGTCAGCCGGGATCTTATGGTATCTGCAACCTCAACCCCAGTAACTTTCACCATTGCTTCATTTCAGGCTTTCTTGTCCCCAGCTGCACCCTAGAGCAGCAATCCCCAGAGCACCCTTTTACCTTTATCTTTATTAAGATTCTATAATCTTTATCTTCAACATTTCATACCCCAACTACAGGCTCTCATCATTGGCCCCATATTCTTCCTTTACCTCATGTAGACTTACATTTCTCCCAGTCGGCTTCCTTTTCTATCCAGCCTAACCCCAAGAACCAACACTTCAGTCACTCACTGCTAGTGCATCCTATTTCTTTACCCCATCGTCCTTTCCTTGTACTCACCTGGCAAATCTTTCTAGCTATCCATGTTTCATACGGGCTACTTAACGAAGAACCCAAAAATGTGAAATTTGATGCTCTACAGATTCAAGACCTCTAATTTCAGCTAAGTCTTCATGAAGCCTGGATATTCTCCTGGACCATGGATGGAAAGGAGATGGGGGTTCAATCTTTACCCCTTTCCTTGAGACATCTTTCACATCCCTCACCCTTCCTGCTCTTGATATACGATCTTATTTCCTATTTCATAGAAAAGATACAGATCATCAATGGAGAGTTTTCTCGACTTCTTGCCCCACCACCAAAAACGCTGTCTGCATCCATCCTCTCATCCCAGTGGATCAGAGCAAACCCATTCACCAGTTCTCTGGGTCCTCCCTGAGCCCTTTCTTCTATCTACAGGGGCTGCATTCTGTTAAATATTTCTTCTTTTTCCTCAGCCTCTCAATTTCTATACTTTCCCTGCATAACATAAAAATGCTAAAATTAAAAAATAATAAAAAATTTAAAACTCTCTATGGACCCTACCACCTTCTCTCACCACAACTCATTTTTCTAGGGTCATCTAGACCTGAGAGACCACAAGTGCTAATAGTAGAAACAATGCAGAGTGGCCATTGCCTCAGTGCTTACTTTAGGGGGCTGGGAAAGGGGCCTCTACAATCTCAGGAAACTTACATCACTGTCATCAAAGAACTACTAGTCTTTCTTCCCTTTAACTTTCGTAAAGCTACAGGATTCCACCTTATTTCATAGTGTGATAATATTTAGAAATTAACAAGATAATTAACTTTTGTATCTTGGGCCAATAGATACTGGGATCATTTAATTTTCAAACTAGCTCTTGCATATTTCCAATTTAGGGGTCATAAAAAATGTATTAGAATCTAGGAAGCTCCTAATAACTAGTCCATTATTCACTGGCTAAATATATTTTAAAATAATTGCAGCTATGTCTGGATTAATGGATCCTCTGAGACCAAAAAACTAAAAAAACAAAACCCCCAAAACCCAATGAATCACATGAAGTAGAGATAGCTGTAACTCCAGCTGCATGCCAAAAATACCTCTGTGCATACCTTCTATTTTTGCTTCTGCCCAGCTGAAGGTATAGGAATTAACTTTAAAATTGTAAAGTTTTAAAATCTTCTGACCCAGTTTTCTCTTGTACTCTTCTTCAAGACTCTGCTTACTCAGTGCCAGCCTCCTCTTTTTGAGTGTAAGGAAATAAATACATGGCACTGTGATATGTGCAATAAAAATATATGCACAAATACTCTGGGAGGAAAGTGGAAGTGACTCACATTCCCTGGGGGAAAGGGGAAGATTTCACAAAGGAGGTTGCATCCAACAGAATAGAAAATGTGCTTCAACTTTGTGCTTTAACTACATTTTCATGGGAGTGATCAATGAACATGTCTGATTCAAAACATGGCTATAACTTCACCATCCTCCAAAATCATTATCTGATTGTTCACTGCTTCAACACTCTTTCCAGTCCTATTTCTTTTTGGAGCATTATCATAACATGTAATCTTGTCCTTAAATTAACCATATGAGCAAGGTAAAGAGTATAGATGTTTTTTCCTATTAAAAGTCAAGGTACAGATTCAATATCATGCAAACTAGCAGCTCAGAGATAGAAAAAAAAAAAATCAAGATTTTGGGATCCGGGCCGGCCCTGTGGCTTGGTGGTTAAGTGCGCGCGCTGCGATGCTGGTGGCCCGGGTTCGGATCCCGGGTGCGCATCGAGGCACCACTTCTCCGTTCATCCTGAGGCCGAGTCCCACATACAGCAACTAGAAGGATGTGCAGCTACGACACACAACTATCCACTGGGGCTTTGGGGGGAAAAATAAAATAAATAAAATCTTTAAAAAAAAAAAGATTTTGGGATCCATGATCTTTTCCTATTACTTCCATAGACCTCAACTCCCACTCACAGCTATTACACATCACTAGTGATTATACCATCATCATAAGAGTACTTTTTACTCTTTGTGCAGAATTACTTACCTCCCATGACACACAGTCACAAAAACACACCTCTTCCTAAGAAAGCTTGCTTAGAACTATTGCCTGCATCAAACGGTGACTTCCTCCACATTAGCCAACTGGATCAGCCACCCTCCCCGTGAAACCAAGTTCTCTGTGGTTCCAGATGTTCACCCTTTAAGCCATTCTTTTATAGAAATTATAGTGCTGCCCCTAGCTAGAACTCTTACTTTTCTGTGATTGCACCACTGGATTCTTTGTCTACGTGGTTTATTCCTCACCTGAACTATTTTCTCCTTTTTGACCATCTCAAATCTCACTTGAGGGGGACAGCCCAGGGACATAGTGGTTAAGTTCACGTGCTCCATTTTGGTGGCCCGGGGTTTGCAGCTTCAGATCCTGGGTGCAGACTTATGCACCACTCATCAAGCCATGCTGTGGCGGCATCCCATATACAAAATAGAAGAAGATGGGCACAGATGTTAGCTCAGGGCTAATCTTCCTTGGCAAAAAGAGGAAGATTGGCAACGGATGTTAGCTCAGGGCCCATCTTCCTCACAAAAAACCCACAAAACTTCTATGCAACATACCAAAAAAAAAAAAAAAAATCTCACTTGAGAGTGTTGTATCCTAATTACTACAAAGGCTAGTTTTCTTTTGTCTTTGGCTGCACAATTCTACTCTGAAAGGCTTTTTCTCTAAACATGTCCTAAATTCCTGGTTCCATTGATAGAGTTCTCTTGTGTACTTTCATCTATGAAATACCGGTCCAAGTTGGCAATGCTTTACTTGATGTTAAACAAGAAAGGCTCCCACCTTAGTCCTGGAATACTCCAAGGATAGCACCCTCACCCAGTGAGTTCTGACTCCCATGCTGTTTTCCTTCAATAGCCTCACTTCTTTCCTTCTAATTACCAATCTTAAGAGTAAAAAGTTGGTGTGCTAGTTACTTCCAGGTATGAGTTCTCTCTGTGTGTGTGTATATGCACATGAGTCTGTTTCTCTCCCTTTACGTAACAATGGCCTCATGGATTTTTAAAAAATTTATTCATTTTTGTGGTGGATTACTGATAGTCTCAGAGTAAAGACATAGCCAAGATTGTGGTTCTAAGTCCTTTTGTTAAAATCTCAGAAAGATTTAAGGGTGTGCCAAGTAGACCTTTTTTGTGATACTAGAATTTCTAAGAATCTTAAGGTGGTATGTACCACAGCAACCTCACAGCTGGCCCAAGATGGAAAAGAGCCTGTCTCAGGAAAAAACACGGGTGTGGCTTTTGTCTAATGAATGGATTATACTTTAATATATAAGAAACCCACAAAGTTTTTAAAAGCAATTTTACTAGATTGAACTATAAGGGACAGGAATAGTACAAAATGTAAAGAAGGCTTTGAACTCTCAAACTTCTCTGGCCAACAGGCCAAGGACACCTCTCAGTGAAAAACATGGACCACTTTTATGGAAAAGGAAGGAGGACTTAAAGGTAGAAAAAAACCCAGAGGATGGAGCCAAGAGCTGTGAATTACTTCCAGTAATTCTCAATTATACTGAACAGTAATACTCAAGGAACTGGTGACATGTGCCCAGCAAAATTTCAGAATCTCCATGGACCAGGGACTACTAGGTGATTCTTATTTCCCCCCTTTTAGAATGGGAGATAGCTGTCTTATCACAGTCTGTTTGATGCATGGGAAGCACATAACTTGTCTCACTAGTTCATAGGTCTTTAGACTGAGAAGTATTATACTTAAGGAACCTCATTCAAGGAGCCACATACATACCTGGACCTGATTTAGATGATTAGATTCTGGGGCTCAACAGCAGGATGAAAATACTGGAGTTTGGGGGAGTGTTTTGCATGTGTGAGGAATACAGATTTAAAAACTTATTTATCACAAATCCCAGGCTGATATACTGAATTGCTTAAGCTCTGTTACATAGGTCATACCTATACATTGAGTACACAATCAACTGTACATGAGTAAAGCATTTCCACTGTGGAAAGAAGTGGGTTGTCACACCAATTGTTTCTATCACCCATCTATATTTGCAGTGGGAGAATATAAGAAATTTTTCTTGTTCCAAGAAGCCTTGGGAAACAATGTGATACTCGAACTCTGCATTAGCTCCCTGAGTTATAGGCCACATACATACAAAAGACAACCAAGCAAGCAGAAGGGAAAAAAAAGTCACAAAAAACTCAAAAACTTTGCTTTGAAACTAGCTTTGAAAAATTTGTGTAAATGCTACACACATTTCTAAAAGACTGATAGGTACATTTAAGTAATCTATAATCAACTTTTTCCAAGTACTCCAAAGGGTAACATTTTAACATTTCCACTTAAATAATGTCAAGCACCCAAACAATTCAAAGAGGAGTATTCCTGACACAAGACCACTTCACTCAACAGAGCAGCTCTCAGAGTCATTAAGTCCTATTTGGTTTAAAAATACAGCTTTTTTTCACACATACACAACGTGTGTGTATCACATTACTGACTGGGATTTAAAGGAGTTTGGAAAAATATTACCTTCTTCTTCCCTTCTCCCATGCTCAAGTTTTGTTCGGTGTGTATTTTTCCATACATATTTCTGTCTCTACATATACAGAGGACTAAAAAAACCTGAAACAATATGGGATATTACACCTTTTACTTTGCAGTTTTTTTCACCAACCTCTTTTCAGATCAGCAGATACAAATCTAACATTCTTTTGGTGCTGAGAGAATACTCTATTGTATGGATGTACCACCATTTATTCAACAATTTACCTGCTAATCAACACTTAGATTTCCAGTTTTTTTGCTCCAATAGATGTTTCAATAAACATCTGTGTACATATATTTTTAGACATGTGTTTTTATATTTATAGGATAATTTCTCAAAAGTAAGATTGCTCAAAGTATGTGTATTTGATCTTAATATGTGTAACTTTGTAGCAGTTCAGTTCTGCCAGCAATGATTTGGTGGGCCCATTTCCTTGCATCTTCACCAAAACTGATGATATCACTGTTTTTAATTTATACTAATCTGATAGATGAAAAGTGGTATCACACTGTTGCTGGTTTTTTTGTTTTTTTTTAAACATTCCCTTAACCATTAGTGAGGATGAACATACTTTATGCTTGCTGACTTCTTAAATGTCCTGTTCTGTGAATTGTTTGCTGATTTCTCCAATAATTTATCATATTAAAGTTATCTTTGTATATAGGGACATTAATACTTTTCCTATTACTAATGAATATTTCTTCTAGTCTACCTATTCTTTTAACTTTGACTCTGGTCTCCTGCCATATGACATTTAAATTTTTTGTTTAGTAAAATATGTCTGTCTAGGTTTCCAACCCTATTAAAAAGATCATCACCACTCCAAGGTTGTATAAAAATTTTCCTTAAGTGGGTATCTTTGTAATGTGTTCCAACAGTTGAGACCAGTGTGAGGAATTTCTGCAATGTTTTTTAAAAAAGTAATCAAGAAAGAGAAGAAATGAATTTGGGCAAGACAGAGTGCAAGAAAGGAGGATAAAGTTTACTGTTCCATGATTCTACATAAGAAAAAAAGAAAATGCTAAATTTCAGAAAATGAGACTTGCAATGTTCTGTCATTACAAAGCCACATTCTCAGAAAATGCACAATTTAAAAAATGTATTTTGATGTATCCACTCCATTAATGTGGATGAAATTTTACATGTATGTACATCATTTTATACTTACATATACATTCTGACTATTTTTATTCTCTTTTTTCAAATAATGCTTACCTATTAAGTTAAAAAGACTGTAGAAAGGAAAAACAGGATATTTGGGAAAATTATCTAATCCCTCCTACATTAACCAAATACAAATACAGAAATTCTCCATTTTAAAATATCACATATACTTTAAGTCAACTAAAGTGGCATAGATATTACTTAAAACAACAGCATGCTAAAAAAAAAAATCACTGCATGATTGTTTATTTAAAATATTATGACTCTAGATGTAAATACATATGGGCTTACATAATTTATAATTCATTTAAATCCTCAATTAAAATGCTTAATTGTTCATCCACAATGCCCTTTTTCTAATAAGCATAATAAATTTTCTATCTCACTGAAAGTGTTTAAAGCCTTTTGAATCTTGATTTGTGAAGAAATTAATGAAAAATAATTTAAGCTTAACTACATTAAACAATAGTATTGTTTGCAATGCTGTCACAGATTTTTCCACGGCAAAATGGTCACATATTGTTATTGCACAACTTATAGGTACAGGTTATGTGCACATACACTCTCTAAATAATGACAGTTGCAGTGTTCTCACTGTAACTTGCTCAACACATTTAAAATTATGAATACAATTTACAAAATCTTTAACAATATACTTTTAAGATAAAAGTATCCTGAGGATATTACAAAATTCATTTTACCAGCCCTTCATTTCTTTGCTTTATTTGACTCTTTAATTTCAAGATAATAGCTGTCCATACTTTGTTACATAAAAATGTTCCTACAGTTCCTATTAACAAAATATATTTAAGCTAAATAGTATGTAATTGTCCCTTAAACACTTAGTCCCATCTGCCTCCAGTCTCCTTGGTTAAAATCAAGTATTTATCAAGTTTTCTATAATTCTGAATCAGAAAAGGTATAGCACAAAACAGACAGAAATAGGGTTAGCACGTTTAAGTTAAAAGCATTGTGCATTTTTAATATTTTGGTCATATTTTGTAATAAAATAATATATTTTGGCAAAAAATAATAAAATATAGGGTTTAGTTTATTTTCTATTAATGGTAGATCTGGCAGGTATTTTACATTTGTAAATGCTATCTATTTAATTTGACTGTTTTCACATTTGTTTCTAAAAGCACTGCTATAAGGTTTTCAGAACTTTGAGACTAAAAGCACCTAAAAAATAAGAAATAAAATAAAATAAAATTTAAGTAAAATGTTTGGTGCTCAAAAATCCTTTCACAAATTTATAAACTTAACTTTTGTGTCATATATGCCAACACAGAATCATTATTGCCTGCTAAGACTTATTCGACTCAATGTAATCTTTAAAATAATAATCTTGCAAGTCTTCCTGAAATGTATTTGAAAATTAGGATGGGAATTCAAAAATTAAAAAAAAAGAAAACATGGAAATAAACAGTTGCAAAAAAAGTAGTTATTCTGGTGGCAGTAGTCGTTATGGCACAAAAACACATGAAAATACATCATTTTCTCTTATATATACAGAAATTAAGTTCAAATAAGATGTGTAAGATATATTACGAATATACACACAACCACACACATATACATACACACACTTGGACTCCAGAGGGGAAACTGATGAAAACTTTACATAATGAGCCATTTGGCTCATTTATCACTGAAGTCCCAATGACAGTTTTAATGGAGATGTTCATTATTTTTTTGATTCTTATCCAAATAACAATCTATAATTAATTAAGAGAAAAAGAGTTTGCGATATATAAGTTTGAAAAAGTGAGGTGTGGTGAACTGACGACTAACGTGCAACTGCCTTTACATAAAGGGTGAAAGAAATTCATACAGAGATATCTGCAGAAGAATTTATCAACAATAAGAAAACAAAACTACTTTAACACTATGACATATGCAATATAACATACTATAAATATGTATTATTACAGCATTACTTATACATTCTACTTTAGGTAATACAGTCTAATTCTGAATGACCTTGTTAATTTTTAAGGCATCAGTGCATCAAGGGCAAAGCTCCATAAAATAAATATGAAAACAAAAAAGCATTAGCTTATTTGTGGCATAGAGAGTGATCATTGTATATTATATGTGTTGGCCACCTCCATGGAATAGGTAATAAATTATATATCTTATTGTTAAAATGTTATAGCATAAATTTCACATCATTTTTCAACACTTCATTTAATGGACTAAACTGATCCGGCAGTATTCTCATTTTCATTGTTCCATCAGCTCCACATGAAAAAATGTGATTTGCTGGCCCTGTCTCAATTTGCATCACTCCGGTTCCGATATTTCTGAAAATGGATTGCCGAGCATGTTCATTGATAAAAGTGTGGAGAAGATTAAAGGTAGAGAGACTCCAAATCTGAAAGATATTAAGAACAAAATAAAAATTGGAGTTGATGATTACCTTAAAAATCCTAATGAAAGGTTTAGGCCTGTCTTCCTGTACAAATAAGGAATTTCTGAAACAAAGATGTAGAAAAACGTGTGTAGGCCTAAGGTCATAACATCTTGATTCTGTACAGGGTGTTGCAATTTTCCAAATCGCTTTGATATTATTACATTCTTGAAAATCTGTCCAGTGAGAGAGGAAGGTATTTTAAACCCTGCATTGGAAATGAGAAAACTCAGGTACAAGGAGGTTAAGTATACAATGCCACAGAAACTTATAATATTATAGGGACTACAATCAAAATTTCCTCTCTCTCAGAAAGCTTTCGCTGTGTACTTGTACAGTGGGGTAATCCGTTCTCTATAATACAGAATATCCAGTAGGGGATCAGAACCACTGGCAAGAGGAAAGTACCAGACACCTAGAGGCCCTCAGACTGGGCAAAACTATGTTCCAACTGCAAGATAAAGTGAATTATTACAGCTTCAGTATACGTAATTTACTAAGATTTTCTATTTTCAGCCCTTACCAAAATAAATGTCTGTTCCACAAGTAATTTATAAGCATCTTCACTTAAGTGAAGGATCTAAATGCTTTCAGAACATCTATTTTAAGTTTAAGGAAACCAAATTACTGCCTGATTTTTTGAGATCATATTTTTTTAAATCTTTCTTTCTTTTTCCCTAAGAATTTTATTAATTCATACTACTCTAGACATGAGTGTTAAATTGTGACTTCTGAATACTACATGGTATAGTTTCAAATCTTTTTTTACTTGATTAAATAATAAACCTCAGAATCAGAGAACAAACTAATCTAAAGAACCAATCTAAGACATAGTACAACTTATTCCAAACTGAGGGCAGTTCAAATAAGAAACTAGCCTCAAATTGAAGGAAAATAATTTTGTATGGAAGTTGGTGTATATATTTAATTTTAAGAAAAGCCTTTTCAAAATTCTACACTTCTAGTTAATTTTTTCTGGATGAGAATTATGAAAACAATATGTTGGTTCTCACAAAGTAGTCTAACTTATTTGCATTAAATAGTCTCACTAGCACTTAATGGATTCGAAGAAACTAGTCAGCCCTGGTGGTATAGTGGTTAAGATTCAGTGCTCTCACCACAGAGGCCTAGGTTCCTTTCTCGGTCAGAGAACCACATCCACGTGTCAGTTGTCACACTGTGGCAGCTGCGTCTTGCTGTGATGCTGAAAGCTACGCCACCGGTATTTCAAATACCAGCAGCAGGGTCACCCATGGTGGACAGGTTTCAGTGGAGCTTTCAGACTAGAGAAACTAGGAAGAAAAACCTGGCCACTCACTTCCGAAAAAAAGTGGCTATGAAAACCCTATGAACAGCAGTGGAGCACTGATATAGCACCAGAAGGTGAGAGGATAGCATCAAAAGACTGGGCAGTGTTCTACTCTGCTGCTCACTAGGAGTTGGCATTGACTTGACAGCACTAACAATAAGAAACTAGACTCCTCCAGGGGGGTGCTGACCATTAGAATAATTTAGGGCTAGTCTAAACTGACTTATTCCTGGAGATACAAGTGTGGCCAGAGGACTCTCTCAAAATCACTACGTATGTGTTATAAAAATGAACATTCCTGAGCCTTGGACTTACCAACTGAGTATTTCTGGGGTAGGATATAGCAACAGTATTTCTGGGGTGGGGTACATTTTTAATAAGCTGCTTAACGTTTAAAAAAAGCTGCTTAAGGGGCCAGCCGGGTGGCATAGCAGTTAAGTTCATACGCTCTGCTCTGGCGGCCCAGGGTTCGCAGGTTCAGATCCTGGGCAAAGAGCTACACACCACTCATGAAGCCATGCTGTGGTGGCATCCCACATACAAAAAATAGAGGAAGATTGGCACAGATGTTAGCTCAGCGACAATCTTCCTCAAGCAAAAAGAGGAAGACTGACAACAGATGTTAGCTCAGGGCCAATCTGAGCTAAATGAATGAATAAATAAATAAATAAATAAATAAAGCTGCTTAACATTTAATTAAACAACCTCTAAGTTTTAAACACAGTGGACTTTGAGAAGGACTGTTACAGGCAGGGCTTATCCAGGTACACTCAGAATTCCTGAATCAGGCCTGAGTGGTTGGATGCTAATGCTATATATGAAAAAACAAGGAGAAACTTGGGATAAAGGAAAATAGTATATTTCACAGCACCTGAAATTGAATTCAGTATCTCTGAACATGCAGTCAAGACTAATACTAATGTCTGAAATATGTTTAAATCCAGTTCTTTTGCATGCATTAAGCATATTTGAAAAACAATTGTA